TCTCACATGATCTTTACTTAAAGGATTCCAAAGTCGGCAAGTATAGGGAAGGACTTGCAAGAGTAAATCTTTGGAAAGGGAAGATGACTTATGTAAAGTAGACCACACTTTCTCTCCTTAAAACAAGGAAGTGTTTTGGATCATTCAGCATGAGAAAAGGAAAGCATAAATGGAGAGTTACTCCCTAAACATCAAGAATAACACAAAGATATATAATTTTCTTATAAAATCAGTTGGGTCACTGCCACTGGAATCCCCTCCTATACCATTTTAAATGAAACTAGAATTTCATGAATTCCTTGAACAAACTGTTTTATGGAATTAGTACATTTTCTTGACCATAGGTATATGGCCTATTCTATAGGCTTTTGCAAAAATGTATATGGCCTACACTATAGGCTATACTATATATAGCCTATACTATGGTCTATATAGCCTATACTGTAGGTATATAGCCTATACTATAGGCTTTTGAAAATTACACTAAGCATTAAAACAGTTTTAAAATTTAGTTCTATGGTCATGTATACTTTATTCACAGTCTTTTCTATATCCCAATAACATTTCTTGTTTTGCAGTAATCTTTACTTTCATGAGAATTCAATGATTTCTTAATATCCTGAGTACAAACAGCTACAATGCAGTAACATCCCTTTATATATATTTATCTGTTTGTCAGATTTCCTTCAGCTCTCTATATTTATAATGCATATATTATTGTTCTTTGAAGGCTGGGACAAATTAAGAGCATATGTTCGCAGTAATAATCAATCATAGCTTATATCAGGTATAAAAACGTAGAGGAACTAGAGGACCTCCATGACAGGTATTTTAGTCATTTCTCAAGAGCCTCCTAGCATCACTTAGGACCCACACAGGATTCTCCTGCTAGTTACTAACCCAGCTGCCAGCTTTGCCCAAATGCCCTAGGAGCATTTAAAATTCTGCTTCTACTTCCACAGTCCCTTCAGGATCATATACTACTTAGTTAATCTTGAAGTAGAGGAGATATTTTTCACATGTGGATAAACACGATTCTCAGCTGAAGCTTCAGAAATAAAAGTTTATTCAATACCTGGACTACCTTTTCTTAGATTTGCCATGTGAAGACACTGTTGCAGCCTAGTATGCTGTTCGTCTTCTGCAATACTATGGCATGTCTTTAAGGTAGAATTTGTTCTGCTTTTGATCTTGAAATATGTAGGTACTACGTCAAACAGAAAGCATCCCAGTTTTCTGTCCCTGTGCTTCATGGTAATGCATTTCTTGGTAGAGCATTGCGGCCTGTGGGCAAAGCTAGGATTCAGGGTCCAGTGTTTGAATGTTTTTCAGTATTTTTAGCTATCTATAAGGTACAATTCTAATAAAGGGATTTCTTGCACCAGACTCCTACCTTATCACTTGAACTGATTTCAGCCAGACAGACCCTGAACTATGCTTACCGACTAATTATAGCTGTCAAACTTCATGTCCGGTGATCTGCCATGATCATTCTCTCTAGATTAAAGGGCAAGGGACAGTGAGTACATGTTTCAATTCAAAGCGATAGTGAGTAGAAGATAAGGACCTAGTCTAGTAGTGATGTTACTTAATTTAGATTAAATGGAAAAGAAGACTGTTTAATGGAGCATAGTTGTAATGAAAGTAGGCTGTTAGTAGTGCAGTTTAAGGAAAGTATTTCATTACTCAGTTAAAACACAAACGTATGTTTAAGAGAAACCAGCAGAAAAAAAGAGAAAAACTAGACTAAGACAAATAACACAAGCAGAGCACTTTGCAATTTTAACTAATAAAATCTGTATTTTACTTAGGAAATAAAGTCAATTGTATACTTTTTTCCGTGCCACACCCAGGACACTTTGCACTTTTGTGTCTTCTCTCTTCTCCTTCTGCTGCTAAAAGGAACCACCAAGAAATATGAACAAAACTATAGAGATGAACTTTTGGAGAGAGTCTAATATTAAGTTATTAACATCCGTTATTAGTTTATTGAAAAATTGTATGAAAATGAGAAACAAAGAAGTAATCTGTAAATACCATATTCAAAAGGCATATGACACTTTGCAAATTTAAAGCTAATTGTATTAGCACTTTGATCCATGACAGTGAAAAACTCTCTTTCATTTCACCATCTGGGGACCTAATACCTAGAGAGAAAAATACTTACATTTTTTCTTTGAAAGTTCTGTTGAATATAAGCTGGGACTGTCAATAGCATTAGAAAGTGACAGCAACTCTTTGGCTTGTACTGAGTTGTAACAAAGCCAGTTGCTTCTGTGTTACTGCTCAGCACTGCTCATAAATTTATGATGGCAAAGCAATAATACTGTTCATAGACAATGAAATGAAACTGAATATTGATACAATCATTAAAGACGGCAAAAGGGGAACATTTAATCAATTGACATTTTCCCCCCTAAGATTTATTCCAGGATTTTACTATTGATTCAATTTTGAGTACTTTGCTACAGATTCTGTTTTGTAGTTGTTTATTTTCATCTAATATTGTTACATTTTCCAGGATTTAAACCATTAGGAAATGTAATTTTATATCACTAACATTTTTATTTACTGTAATGAATTCAAAATATGCAGAATTGTACAGTAATTATATTTATATTATAAATATCTTTATATTTATAATATAAAATATTATATTTATGTAATAATGTTCATAAAATTGCTTTAGCAACTTGCTAAAATTTAGACATCTTTTGAAATCATAAGTGCTTTATTCCAATCATATAAGATTTATTTTCTCAGATTCAACCTTACTTACAAATTACTTTTTACGTTCAGCATTGATTCCTCTTTCTCTTGAGAACTATGTACTCTGAGGGTGTTTTTATTCTCTTGTTTGTCCACCTTTCATTTCCACATTTGTATGCACTCAGAGTACCAACAAGAAGTCTCAATGAGCAAAGCATTGAAGTTCTTGTTAAGCCTACTCCTTCGTTGCTGTTTCCCAGAGGATAAGCATTCTACTTTCAATGTTATTTCCCATTCACTGTGCATATTACTGTCCTGACTTACCTGACTTAACCACATTACTGCTGTATTTCTTTTGTGCTTAATACTGACTTGTTTGATAATATACAATGAAAAGATAAGGTCACAAAGTTGCCTGCTAAAAATATTAGGTATTGCAGAATAATCAAGGTGTCCTTACCACATTTCACAATTAATGGTGATGCATACTCTCTGTGTTCTGGAGCATGTAAAGACCCGAGAACCAGCCTCCCAACCATGTCCTACATATTTGACAACTGTGTGCTTGATTTTAGAATTAGTAGGAGAGGGAAGAGTGAGGCCAAATCTCACTCAAAAGTCTTTGCCAAGATTGGACTCCTATGTACTCATTTGTTTTGAACTTAGGCTACTACTACATCTGTACAAATCATCCAAGAAGATCCCCCTAGATGAAGCATTTCTAGGTAAATCTAGAATAATAATAAAAAATAAGTAAATATATCTAATAATCAATATTTATTTTTTAAAAATAATTTTATTTTAAAAATGTGTTTTTTCCCTGAACTAATAACAACTTCCAAAGGTCTAGATTTTTCAATATACATTGATATATCAAACCTGACTACTTAAGCTTTGATGTTAAAGGTCCCACTGGGATTTCTAGAACTATCACAACTCAATTTGTGACTTAAAATTATTTTTCTAGGTGCCTCAGCTATGATCCAGAAATCTGTCTGAGCTGTTTTCATCTTACAGAACTGTTCAGAAACAGATTATGAGGCCAAATCAATCCTCAGTTTTATCATTTTACAATAATGCCTTCAAACACTTTTGGTAAATATACAAATCACACTGTAATTTTTAGCATTAGCTGGGATTCTCTGCTGGCACATTCTTATCCAAAAAGATTTTCCTTGAAAGAGCAAAACCTGTACCCTGGCCTAAATTTAGACAATCAAATCTAAAAATCTTTTGTTCATAATTTCCTAATTCCAATACAGCCTTGCTTACATCTTCAGGTCAAAGAAATTTTCTTGAATTGTGATGAGAATTATAAACCATTTTCATTATATAGGTGCTTATTAAAAATTATTTAATAGGCAACTTATTTTGTAGGTTTTTTTAAACCTTCACAAACTGATTTAAAAGACCTACTGTATAAATTTTTTTGTTTTTTCTCCAATTTTCAAAAAATGCAGTCTTACAGTACTTACCCAGACTCACTGAAACTGAAAACTGAGTAAGTACTGCAGGATTGGCCCCCTATTAAAAAAGCCCAAGACACATGGTGCTGAGATTAACAAAACAAAGTAAAGCAGCTATGACTTGGCACAAAGTTTGACAAGCTGCAGAAAAGCAAATGTTTAAATAACTGAAGTGGTACTGATTTTCTATTCACAACCTTTTCTCTTCTAAACAGTATCATATTCTTTTCCAGCACATTTAGATTGCAAGTCAAGCTGTGTTTTATTTTTTATTATAATAAACCCAGTCAGTTTACTGTAACAAAGACATACTAGTGGTGATCAGTGTGAAAGCCAGTACGAAATCAGGCTAGGAAAAAAAAAAGTCAAATGGTAAAATAAAGGACCAGCCGTCTGGAAAGTTCCTGGATCATGTAAAAAGAAAATAAAAGGCAGTGTTCTTATGAGACTAATGCAGAATACAAAAATATTTTAAGACAGAACTCTGTACCATTGCCTATGACACTTGTAAACAGCAGCAGTAAATCCTTTCAAATAATGTTGCATTTATTAAATATTTTCCAAGTTCTCCTAAAACAAAATAGTAGCATTTAAAAAAAAATATTTCTAGTAGCATCATTTACATCTTTTCCTCTTACCACCTCTTGTGGTAAGAACAAAACAAAACTGTACAGCATTTTTGCTATCTTTTTTTCACATGTAAAATAACATCTACTTAAAAAACAAGTTTATTCAATATAGGGTAGATTAAAATGGTTTTGCATATTATATTAAATTTGCAGTAAATCATGGTTTACAAAAATAATGTATACGTAAGTATCTTACCCGATTTTTAACTATGGTCTTTCATTTTCAAGTTCTGCCTTCATTTGTTCTTGAATTTCAATCAACTAAAATATAAATGTGTGGGAATTAATGTTGGATTTCATACTGCAAACAGGCATAATTCTCTAAAAATCCTTTCTTAGTATAGTCTCCCTGGTCAAGACACTACATGTGGACATACACATATTTTTGTATTATAACTGGTAACAGACATCTTCACTTACAGGTCAATACTTTTATGTGGAGTTTAATAATATCACAGGTGTCACACATATAAAGTTCTTTTGACATAAGTAGAGTGTGATGTCACAGGAGGTAGGAAGATGACAAAAAACATTAGAAACAGAGACTTTAATCAGTGACTTAAACTCTGAGAAAAGCAGATATTTGTGGAAATCCGTTACAGACAAACAACAGTGGCAGTTTGGAACTGCAGGGGCAATTCCACTGTTCTGTTGTAAATTTATAGAAAGATCAACAGACGTCTATATCACCTGCAGCAAGTTCTAATATATCTTTGTGAGACAAACATTGTTAGGCAAATTACACAACTAATCTCACCGCGGACTAAGAATTGTGCCTGAAGAGCAATTTAAGCAGAAATCTTTAAGAATTTTTCAGAAGTTTCAGAATCAAACTCCCTTAAACAGTTACATTACATGGTAAATCTTCCTTGGTTCTGCTGGGCTTGAGCTGTCTGGGACTTCTGTCACAGCTACTGTCACTTGGGACTTGTAAGTTAAACATCTATATTTCTCAGTGTCACCAGGAGCAGAGTTCGTTACTTACTGAATTTGCATTTCGAACATATTTAAAACCAGACAATGTTGAGTACAACGCTGACATTCATTTTCTTTCATAAAAATGGAGAAATGCTCCCCTTCAGCATAATAACCTAGAAGCTAGAATGCTCAGCCACAAATCAGGGCAGCCGACATTGTATGCTGCTGGGAGTTTTATGGGGCTTGATTACAATATCCCAAGTCATGGAAAAGAAGCCTAACTACCCCTCTATGATGAGAATAAGCCACCAGTTCTGTTCAAGCTGTGCCATTGGACACAAAGAATATGAAATTCATGAGACTAGATACAGAATACTCATGCACGAGCTTGACGACATACCAAAGCTGTGACTGCATGAGAAAGGGACAACCTCATGTTTTGACTTGCTAGATCATTTATGCATTTTACATTAGACTATGAATTACAAGAAAACAATATACAAAACACACACACCCCCCTCAAAAACCAAGCAAAAATACTCAGGAAAAATCTGAAGAAAGAAAGAACAAACCTATAGAAAAGTCCCTTCCTTCATGCTGAGTATCCAAACATGTAGCCTAGAGATTATGGCTCTTCTGTGCTTGCTCTCCCTGTGTCCAGCTTTAAAGAGAATATTTTCCCACCAGAAACAGTGCAAACTAGTAGTTAAGTCATTGGTATATGGAGCTATAGGTTCAAAGGTCCTCAAGTTCAATGAATGCCCAGAACCCTGGGTAAGTGCTTCAGTCCTTAGGAAAAACTCAGTCCTTGCCATCTCTTACACTGCTTTGAGAGACCTTAGAGAGGCAATCGCCCGCAGCTAGTGCACAGCTTGGCAGCCTGGGCACAGGAGGAAGATCCAGGCTCCAAGTCCCCTCTACAAGAAATCAGTTGATAACTTCTAGTTAGTCCAGGTAAGAGACAGTACTTGTAATGTGTTTCATCATCATTTATTACTTACTGTGCTTTGAATCTCATTTTAAATTGTTAACTTATGCTTATACAGTGTATATTGGATACTGGTGTCTCTATCTACTTTGTGGACTCCATTTCTGAAGTGAAATGTCCAACTGCCGGGTGCTACAGCAGCATGTGCCTTCATACCCAGCTCCTCTTTTTCAAGTTCAAAGCTTTTTAACCAAAGAGGAGTTTATGCACGTTCTGGCTATTGAGAGAACATCTTTCAATGGGATATGCAAAGGAGG